TTTTATCAGACCAGCCATCAATCATGCTTGGAATTTTAAAAAACCAGACACTCAATGAGAGCGACTCCCTGAGTATAAAGTGTGATGCAGATGCCAAACCGTCGCCAACCATCAAATGGAAGACACCAACAGGATCTGTCCACACTGGGAATGTCTACAACATCCCGTCAGTCAGCAGATCACATGCAGGGACATACACGTGTACAGCTAGTAACGGGATAGGAAGAGAAGCAATGGCCAGTATACAAGTTACTGTGCAGTGTAAGTGATGAACCATAACAGTTTCCTTAAAAAGCAGGAAAAAATGTAACGTACTCCTAATAACAAAAAAGTTGTCAAAGGACGTTAGCAAATACTAAGAAGCAAATAGGAACTTGCCATTCCCAATTTATCATGCTAGGAGCAAAAAATAAATAAAAATAAAAATAGAACGACTACTTATTCTTAAAATGTATGGGTCAAAAAATAATTTTTTTTCGTCTTGAAAAAGGAAACTGAGATAGCTGAACATTTTTCTAAAACAAGTTTAGATACCAATTGATAAAATTATGTTTTTTTTATGTATGAATTACTTTTCTTTGCGACGCGAAGGCTCTGAAATAGTCGATTTCTTTCGGCCGTCAAAAGGCTGAAAATAAGCGATATTTTTTAAAACAAACTACATAGTGGTTCTAGTTAGGTGAAGGCCTACCTAAGGTTAGAGTATGAGCGAAATCGATTTTTCGACCGTTGCCACAAAATTTCAAAATTGTTCGATTTTTGATGACCGCATCCCCTCTTAAATTGTTTGTTATCAATTAAAATGATAAGTTCTTGTTCGTTAAAAAATTGATATTGGTAGGCCTTTTATTGCAAATTGATCAGAGAAGCTTTTATTTTTCATTTGATTAGTAAAAAAAAAAAAAGATCACCAAGAAAAAAGTTTACATTGCTAATTAATTCCTTTTTTTCCTCTCTCTTTACATACTAACCTTTTTACTTCAATACCTGTGGTACCCCAGTCGCAAAATGCTTTATTTTTTGTTTCTGATTCCGAGACAAAAAGGATTATTACCCAGTATGCATTGCGGCCCTCATTCAATGGGGATATTGATTGGTTTAGACATTGACACCATGACAACATGTCGTCTACGTATAATTGACGCTCTCTTATGCGGCTAGATTGACAAACTTTGGAAATGGCAAATATAACTTATGTGGCGCTTTACACTTATTGTGAAACTTGCGGTCAAAATCTTGCTCTATTTACTCGTCATAGATAGATAGAGAGAGAGATTAATAAACATATAGCTATATTTATACACGGAATACTTATCAGTAAAAGTATATAAATACACAATAACACAAAAATTAAATACGATGAATGATAAAAACAAAATTTGAATGACTGCTGTACATGAGTATTGTATGAAGCTTAGTCCTTGTTCGTGGCAAAATGCTCTTTGCAATAGGACCTTGGAGGCAATTAGGGACTTTGCCTTTCTTAATTCCATCACGGGCAGGCTATTCCATGAGGAGGCCCCTGAATAACTAAAACTCTTTTTCCAAAAATTAATTAAGGAGCAGGCGTAGCTCAGTTGGTTAGTGCTGGTTAGTGTTGGAACTCCACGTCTGTTTCGACTTCTCTCTGTTCTGTGTAGCTTTAATTAGCTTTAAATACCCGTAAAAAGTATAGCACTCATAGTAAGAGGGGGTAGGGGCGCACCTTCGAGCGCATTTAACATGAGCCTTTGGCTCTGGAGAATCGTACGATTTATAACTTTGGCATTAAGATAACCAGGACCTAATTTATGTACCGTTTTATAGACCATGGCGTTTTACCTAAATGCATTGGACGCTGAGTCTCAATTTTAGACCAATCAAGGGTTTCCAAAATGCTATTAGCGTCAAACAATAGTATAAAATGGTCATCCAGTCAAAGGCTTTTTTTTTTAAGTCCAGAAGTACTACTGCATTTACTTTGCCTTATTGGTCAATATTATAAGCGCCCAGTTATCAGTGGCTTCAAACAAAGCAGTTGCGAGTATAATAGTGTAGCGGATGAAAGCCAGTTGGCAGTTAGATATGAAATTATTATTTGATAACAAATGCGCATAAAGTTACTACGGGAATAATAGATATAGGTCAAAAATAACAAGGTCTGAACGTTCACCCTGTTTGACCAAAGAAACAAAGGAACAAAGAAATTACTAAGTTAAGTGCATGCATAGTCATAGACGAATAAAAAATGTAGAGATTAAGGAGTGTATATAGAGATTACTTCATAGCTAGTGAGCGCGTACGGTTTTTATTCACGAGTTGTGAAGAATCAAACGAACGAGCGAGTCACCCCTCCCCTACACGTGGTGTTTTGTCGTATGTCAGCGAGATTGTGATTTCTGATTCGTGATTCAGAAAAACAGAAATGCGATTTCTGATTAGGGAAACGGAAATCCAAAATCCTGCATTCTCTTCTTCCAACTTGTATTTTCGCCTATGCAATATACCTAGTCAATGCCGAAAAGTAAGTTTTCTGATTCCTGAAACAGGAGTCTAAAATAATTCTGGTACAATTCCTGATTTCTGATTCCAATAATCAGGTTGGCCGCAAAGCATCCTGATTGACGTGCATTCTGAAACCAGCCCCTCCACTTTTCAGGCCCTTCCAGGTGTCTTCCCAGTCTACCCTGCCCACAGGGTCTTGTTTATAAATTAGGTCACGTAATTTTCCTACCTGTACAGGATTCTAAATAGCAGCCGGCTATCGGTGATAATCGGCAGTTTCAAAGTTTTTGCCTTCGATTTTGTAAAAAAAATTATAAAATTAGCTAAGGTTACCGCGAACTATTAGATGAAGAAATTAGTTAGAAAAAAATTGCCTCAATTTTTTCTATTCCATGTATTAGGTCATGATATTACTCATAATTTGCAGTGTTTATATTCAGTATTCAGAGAGTTTATCAAGCTTTCAGTGAATATTAATAACAGAGCCTTCAATTGAAACTTTCAAATTTCAGAAATTTATTTTCTTTAAGTTAATTTTTTTTAATGCAAGGAGGCCTGCAAACAACAGGATCACGACTAAAAAAGCTGCAAATATCAGCATTTTTTTTTTTTTAACCCTTCTGTATTTGTTAGATCCACCTGATATTTGTGCAGCAAAGTCCAATCGCACTTCAAAGTCTTGGAATGGCAACAGTATTCGCCTGATATGTATAGCAACTGGTTTACCTGCACCACGGATATCATGGTACAAACCAACAAATCAACAGATCACTACAGGTGTCATCATTTTACCCGGGGGCAGTGAGGTAACAGTACTGACAACTGCTGACCAAGGGGACTATGGAGAGTACGAGTGTCGAGCAACAAGCATCCTGGGAAGTGATGAACATGTAATTAATGTTACTCAATTGTGTAAGTACTTTTAGAGCGATTTTTGGTATGAAAAAGAAGAAATACTCCAAACAAAATTGAACTTGCGAAAGAGATACAAGACTAAGTTCCATGTTTAACCAATGAGGGATTGGAATTACGATATAGGGGGCCATATATGATGAAGTGCCTCAAATATACACTTTGTATAATGCTTTTTTTTTTCGCAAGACTTGTAACTTACACATTTCTCGCGCCCTGCTGATTGGTTATTTTTTATCATCCTTAAGATGACAGACAAATACCCTGACGTCGACACTCTTTCCGTCGGTTGTTTTGTTTTCTAAAAACGAGAACCTTTTTTGATATTATTTTTGTTATTGTAAAAGAAAATTGACATCAGCTTTTTTATGTCTGTCCTCTTAGTGAAAATACATTTCGTCACCAAAATTTGAAAGTAGTATTCGGATTCACTCGGCTACGACTCGTGAATCCACACTACTTCGTAAATGTGATGACGCAATTTATCGTCAATTTATTGAGGAGAGACATAAAACCGGCTTATGTGAATTTGTTAAATCTACCTGTAGTTCCCCCAGCTCCTGTTGCCATAACTATTACCGAGGTAGAAGCATCCTCCATAACTGTCAGATGGACCAAACCTGGTAATGATGGTGGAAGTGCTGTCACTGGTTACAAGGTTGAAGTCAGTACCAAGCCCCCAGTGATGACAGTTTATACCCATACTATTATAACAGGATTGAAAGCAAACACACAGTACACGGTCAAAGTGTATGCCAGGAATATTGTTGGGTATAGCAAAGAAGTGGAGAAATCCATCACCACTAAAGAACAAGGTAGAACAAAGTGTATATGCACATATATTTGCACATTTTTTGTTAGTAGCTAAATAACTTAAATTCGGTCGCACATTTGAAGAAACTTAATTACAACATTGTCAAATTTTCATTTTCACTCAAAGTTTTTCCATTTTTACGAAGATTTTGGGTCAAACTTTAGGGGACTGGGGACGAAAATCAAAAATAACAAGCAAATGTCACCCAATATTTTGCCATGTTTCTGCAAATGGGTGCATTATGGGTAATGGCCCGCGGGATTCAAAGCTAAGTACCAAAGCGTTGGCTGGCCTACCCATTGTTGTTTTGAATTTGCTGAATATATAATTTCTAGATAAACGGAGGTTATTCTTACTTAAGAGAGACATTTTCTTCCACTTCTTCTCTGACAACTTAGGGATTCTTTGTGGTTACCTTTTCTTTCTCTCTCTCTCTCGCTCTCTTTTGGCTCAAGCTATTAAAAGCTTCAGTACAGTTTTATGCAAAACAAGTTCACTCACTAAAATGAAAGTTTGAATATTAATCATCATTGCACTAAAACCGTTTGTATTTATCAAAATTGCACAAAGCAAACAGCGACTTATATTGAAAAAAACGCCGACTGTCGAGTCCTAGGCAAAATTCTTTTTCTGGTAGGAACAAGCGGAGTTTTTTTTTTTTTTGCAGAGAGGTAACTTATCTTAAACTATTAAACACTAGCCAACGCTTTAGTCATTTTAAGAGCGACTGTCTGTAAAAATCAAACAAAATCAGAAATATGCGGAAAGGCTCAAATTTTCGAATTCGCTCTACTTTTGGATTTTAGTAGTGTATGATAAAGTAAGAAACGCTGTGTGGTTAATTTTGAAAAATACTTTTTTGTTTTCGAGAAATAGGGAAAAATCGGTTTGAGCTCCAGGGACGATTTTCGCT